ATGGCGAATAAATACGTACTTAAGATCTACAATGGAGCAAGATAGATTTTGTAATTGATCGATATTAAATATTGAAAAAGATATAAAAATTGATCCCRAAGTCATTTTGGAACAATTCACAGCCATCAACAAAAGAAAAATGAATCAAATGTCAATAATTATTTCACGATGCATATAAAATATATAATTAAAAGTAAATGTTGGTATTAATGGTGTTTAMATTTTAAGATGGCGTTGGGGGGGCATAGCCCCCCACGGGTTACTTTTGGTATAATATTGAGGTGGGGCTATAGCCCCCCCCTAAGATTTTGTGCTAGTTGCGCCACTGATCAGGTGAATAACCTAACCAGGGGTAGTCGTAACTAGTAACGAACCACAAGGAACAATTTTTTGCTCACTATCTGTAACGGACCAAACCCTAAGCAAAGGCAGGGAGGTTGACCTCGTTTTTGTTTTAAATTAATATAAATTAGTAAGGTTCAAGCAAAAAATAAGAAAGAAGAAAAAAATACAAATAGCAATTCTTAATAACAACGATGAACAATTATATAATGATTGAAACGCAAAAGACGTAAAACACAATTAAACTATAAATGATTTAATAAATCATAGGAATACATAGGTAATAGTATTACAATATCTTATATCAAGCGACGCTCGGCGCTACGGAATTATCATAATAATAGAACCMGTATGGTAAATAATAGTAATTAAATTACGGAAAGTATATGTATACTATATGGAACCCTCACAACACAAGCAATATGAATCAACTTGAAAGAGTCCAACGGAAGTTTTTGAGYTTTGCAGCATATCTATTAAATATTGAACATAGACCTCATGWTTATGATGCAGTAATARATARGCTAGGCTTACAGTCTTTGGCCGATAGACGTATCACCATTAACAAGGTCTTTCTAGTCAAACTCATAAATGGGTCGATCGACTGTCCTGAACTTCTATCCAAAGTAAACATTAAAATTCCCTGTGTTCAGGTCCGTTCTTTCTATCCTTTCAGTATTCCGCTGTGTACGACAAATTATTCACGAAACAAACCACTAAATAGAATGATGCGGATTGCTAATGAGGATCCGTCTTTTAATTTTTAAGTTTAGTTTTGTAATTCTTTTATTTTGTCTCATTTCTTTTTCTATTTTAATTGTTATGTCTACTATTCACTTATAATATGTAATTTTATTTTCTGTWCTTTGGGCTGCGGCCCGTATTAAAATAAAATAAATATACTAAACAAAGCATTCTACGCTACAGAATCATAACGCAAAGTAATGATCTTACAATGATGTATAAAATGTACACTATATATATCCTACTCACATGACCTGCATGATGGTAATGAGATGTACTGATGCTGAGTGATGACGGTGACTGCTGGGCGCTGGCTTGTTTGATTATTTGACTCKACGACATCGACGAAACTGACCACGTTGATAATAGTCGGTGTGGCGTATAGTAAGTCTTACTATATAACATAGATCTTACACAGATCGAATGACTGGGTTGTGTGTAATGATGTTTAAGTATAAAGGGGGTAAGTCGTGGTATGCGTCATTCCGACGGAATAATACTACGTATAAGGCAAATAGCGACACGGCAAAGACACGAACTCCCGTTCATCAACAACCAACGACACCGTCATCKGCGTAACAACTAACAACTTGGCGGCGGGTAGTGCACACATCTCGGTGAACAAGTCGGCTGTACAATATTAGACTTTTAAGAACGACCTATGGACCGTTGATTAGCACATTGGGTATTTGCATCCAACATTACGCCCTCTTGGAAGACTAGGGGTCCTTTCAACGCTTTTCGGCTGGATGGGACTACCCAAGTGCTATGGACTAGCGTCCCGCATTGTCTAGTTCACGGTCAACTAAGCACCAGCCGCACCAAGCTAGGGTAGGGTGCGACCAACTTTGTAATTGTAGGAGGGACAGCATTTCTGGAAATCATTAAAATTAGGGACATACTAAATCATGGGAGCAGACGACTATAAAAATGTCCTCAATAAGGGTGCACAAGACGTAGTTTTATGCWTCATTACAAAAGTTCAAAGAACCAAATGTTTAAATGTAATATTATAATATATACTCTTAATGTTAATTATAATATCAATCACCAAGGYYTGMAGCTGCRCGRGATGCACATTTGGCTTGTATGTGGGCGAGTAACATTTCCGTCAGTCTAGATAATTATASCACATCCGTGAGAACAGCGACAAGAACGAGTAGACTATGGGGAGTAGAGGGTAGCACTATATAAGGGACCCCGAAACGGCCTGTATTCAGACGCGACTTTACCAGACTAGCCAGAGCAATTTCACGCCAGTCTGTTGTTTAATTTAATTTATTGGTTTGATAATATAAATACTCGCAGTGAAAGAAAAAAAATTGATAAATTAGCACCTATTCGAACTATTTTTGATGAATTTGTTGATCGTTGTAAATTAAATTATACCATCGGGGAATATTGTACCATTGATGAGATGCTAGAAGGCTTCAGAGGGAAATGTAATTTTCGGCAATATATCCCTAACAAGCCTGACAAGTATGGTATAAAAATATTTTCACTCGTAGATGCTCGTTTATTTTACACAACAAATATGGAAGTTTACGTAGGGAAACAACCTAATGGTCCTTATAATCAAGATAATAGTGCATCAAGTAKTGTCAAGAGGATGATTTCTCCAATTTCCAAAACGGGTAGGAACTTGACCATTGATAATTGGTTTACATCTGTTCCATTGGCCGTTGACCTGTTACAAAACCATAGAATTACTATGGTTGGGACAATTAGAAAAAATAAAAGAGAAATACCTCCTCTTTTTTTGGACACAAAGAAACGAGAAGTGTATAGTAGTAAATTTGGATATAGAAAAGAATGTTTATTAGTATCATACGTACCAAAAAAAAATAAAAATGTACTGATGTTGTCAACAATGCACAAGTAAGGAGATATTGATGTAGAGAGCGGAGAACAACGTAAGCCTKAAGTAATTACTTTTTATAATTTTACCAAAGGAGGAGTCGACGTTGTTGACGAACTAAAAGCTGAATATTCCGTAGCAAGGATTAGTTGTAGATGGCCTCTTACCATATTTTTTTCKCTTATGAATATAGCTGGTATAAATAGCAAATTATTTATAAAGCCAACACTGATACTACTATAAGTAGACGTCAATTTTTAAAATTTCTTGGGCAAGATCTATGTGAACCATTTATGGTACAACGACTGAATTGTAAAAATTTGTCTTTTGATCTTCGAAAACAAATAAATCGTTTCACCGGTCAAATCTCCACACCAACTCAAGAGGACCCAAGACCTACAGAAAGAGTTAAAAATGCTTACTGTCCTGCAAGGAAAAATCGCTATACCGTGGTAAGTAGATACACTACTATAAGCTCAAATATATATACAATTAATTATTTTATATTTTATACCTAGGTAAAATGTGCAAGGTGCTTTGTGCCATTATGTAAAGAACACACATTAGCCCTATGCAGTTTGTRCAATGGAAACAACGAAGATTTAGATGATTAGTTTGTTTAAGTTTGTAAATTAATTCATGCATACATATTACATTTTAATTATTTTCTCATTATGATTTTGCAGAAAAYAGTTTATAAAATTACATTTCATAGCACATAAGTCAGTATAATTATTTTAATTTTTTTTCAATATATGTATTAATAAAGAATATTCAAAATTGGTTTATTTTATGATTTATCAATCATTTGTTCTTAAAATATTACATTCATGATGAAATATACTATGTGAGCGAATCGCTCTACGCGCGAGTAACGGTGTTCAAATTATACGTGCGTGTCATGACGGGTTRAGGTCTATTCCCACTGCTCCGGGACGTGTCCGGGTAGAGCCGGGTCATTTTTCAGCACGTCCGGGCAACCCGGGTTTCAGTATTYACACTATTCAGGATTCCGTCCGGGTTTATCTAAAATTTTGTCAACACTTTGTCGTCAGTCGTGATTAGGATTTGTAACCACATGGCCGTATATTATATTTTAGTGTAATAATATTATTTGCATAAATTATAAATTAAAAATTATAGTGAAGTAGGTATATTTTAGCCTTTAGGTATACCTATTTCTAAATTATAGTATCCAATTGAGTATAAAGTTTACCTACAGTAAGTATAAATAATTTAATTACTTAATAAATTACGTAGTAATACACAAATTAATTTKAATAATTTTAATTTAATTATTAGAAAAATGGATTTTTCTATTAAAGAACTTGCGATGATGACCTTACTACTTGACGAGAAAGAACAAGTAGCCCAAGAGCCTCGTAAGTACTGGGTTCACTCTGCTTGKAAAWAACGTGATAACGAAGGAGAGTTCCAAATTGTATATAAGGAACTTATAGATGACGAAACTAAATTTCACGAATACTTTAGGATGTCCATGTACTGTTTCGATGTCTTACTAAAAAAATCRAAAAGTACATTAAAAAACAAGATACAAATTTCAGAAAATGTATACCACCTAAGCACCGTTTAGCTGTTTGTTTAAGGTAAGAAATTAATATTCAGTGAACATTTCTAGTTAACTTGAGTGATAYTTTGCTGTATTTTAATGGATACATGTATTRTATAGTAGGTAATATTTATCTAATAATAGTAAAACAAATTGTTTGTTATATTGAAAACAAAAAATAATTTACTATCTTTCACAGTAAATAGCAAAAATTAAAATCATATTGAAAAATATCTTAAAAAGTCTAAGAGGTAAGACTGATAGTACATAATATTATTTAAAATAATAACTAATATTCAAAATAAAAAGAACAATCTAGAATATTTTTAATAATACTTTTTTTTTCTATAGGTGAAAATTAAYAAACAATCGGTATAATCATAATTATTAGTATCTATAAAAAATAAAACAAATTGTTTGTATTATTGAAAACAAAAAATAATTTATTATCTTTCACAGTAAATAGCAAAAATTAAAATCATATGGCAATCATATGTATTCTTTCATGAATGAATGTACGCTGCAGCTAATACAGGGTCGTTTGCAAGACGGCGCTCTACATTAAAGAAGCGTTTCATTGCCATAATTCGGGAATCGCCTAGCGTTTCTGGATGCGCTTTTAGTGGTAAGCGAACGATGAAACGTCCAGTTTCGTCACGCTCAGACGTTGAGATGAAGTGTTCTTCAGCAATGTATTCATCATTATGACGAGATGAAACATTGGTTGCACACAATGCTAATGCTGATTGATCGCAAATCGCGGGCGTTACAACAGCTGACATAGGAGGAGACATCGAGTCATGTATTTTGCCAGTTATAACCCAGCCAAGTCTGATGCTTCGTGCAGTCAATGAATTAGAGATGGCTAATCGGTCTCYATTGAATACTTCGTAGAAAATTTCAGCACCGACGAGACAATCAATTTCACCAGGTTTGTGGGATTGAGGATCTGCTAACTGCGATTGTATATTGCTAGGTATAATGATATTATTAGTAKCAATTTGATGAGATGGCAGTTTGCTTGAAATGACTGGTAAAGCGTGAAATATTATCGGTGTGGAGTAATGACTATATTGCGATGACAAGGTAGCTGACGATAAACGTTTTKCATGCATGCGATTGGCACCAATACCGGCAATGGTGATCGAATTGCCTGAACTCTTCAGTTGCAACCGTTTGGCGCATGCTTGTGTGATAAAGTTTAACTGAGCACCATTGTCGAGGACGGCTCTGCAAGGCTGTCTTTCACCACTACCATCATTGATGTAAACAATTGACGTGGACAACATTGCATAAGTAGGAACACTAGAGTTAGAGGTGACTGAGCTTTGTTGTGCATACATGACTTTGCTGGTGCTCGGCTCAGGATTGTCATTGGAACCGCTTACATCCTCATGTAATGTTGTGCTATGTTTTCTTCCACATTTTTTGCAGCAGCCCAGTCTGCATTGTTTTGCTGAGTGACCAGTTAAAWGGCAGTTGAAGCACAGCATTAGGTTGCTTACTGCATTTCTGCGTTCAGAGACTGCCTTGTTTAAAAACTCTTCACAGTGATATGGTGCCTATGGGACCAGAACATAACGGGCATTTGGGCATTTGATGTGRCTTAGTGTAACTGTTTTGATTAGCAAGCAAGGCTTTTTTTGGCATTGGTTCTAATGAATTTGCATTGGATTTCGAGTTGTGAGCATTACCTGAAGTTTTGTAAATTTCACCAACTTCATAGGCAGACACCCGACTCGCTAAGAAGTTTTCAATCGCTGTAAATTTGGGAAGTTCTTTGGATTTTAAACTTAATTGCCATTCGCCGACGGTAATGGGATCTAATTTGCWGCATACTAGTGTTACTAGCCACGCATCCCATTGATCTACAAGTTGTTGCAATGCCTTAAGTGATCGGTAGTGAGAGACAATGTGGTGATGAAGTTTACGCAATTCAACAGCCGATGGTTGCTGAACTTGAGACGTTTGAAATAGAGAACGAATGTGCGATTGTATAATTAGGCTTTTGTTCTCATATTGGTCAACCAGGCTGTCATAAGCCATACGATAATTTTCTCCAGTGGTTGGAATGGCTTGTATAACCTCTGCTGCAGAACCATGGAGACTTGCTATTAAATACTGTAATCGCTGGACATTTTATAAACTAGGGTTGTTATGAAATGTTGCATTAAATGTATCGATAAATGATGACCAGTTTTGGAGGGTTCCGTCGAAGGAAGGGGCAGGTATAGGAGGCAATCTCATAGACTCTCGAATAATTGTGCTGCCTTTTGTCTATGAATTTTCAGWTGTTGGTGGACCATGTTTCTCCAATAAGTCCAGAATTATTGCCTTAACGGTGTAGTAATCATCTTCAACCGTCTCTYGACATGCTACCATGTCTTCAGTGACACAATTATGTATTTCAATTTCGGCCTGATGCTCTTCAAATAATGTTATGTATTCGTTTAACCTTGTTAATCGGACGCGTAACTGATTGCATGAATGAATTACTGAGRAAAACCTTTCTACATATTTCTTGACTATTCCTATTGATCTCATCTCAGCATTTCTTTTGCAAATCAACCTTTTCAACTCAAATGGGATCACAGGTTCATTATCGGGATTGGATTCCATGTTGATTGATGATTCCAACGATGGCAGATGAATACAAGAGGCTTTTGTTACAATAATATAGTAATATTAAATAGAGCTGCGATAAAACAATTGAAATAACACAAGATATAAGCTATTTTTAGATAAACCAAAATTATTGAAGTAATGCAAAAATGTTTAGTATAGTCAGTAATATAGTATGRYTTAAGTAATGTTTAAGAAAATGTTAACTATAGTTCAGTAATATAGGATAATTGACAGAATGCAAAAATGTTAACTATAGTTAAATAATTGTAATGGTCTAATGAGAATAATCACTAATAGTGTATTATCATATCCGGTTCGAAGGACCAATGTTTGCGCCTATCAGCTGTTGCACAACAATAGGCAGCAGTGCCTWAGGCAAGGATATTAAGATGTTCGAAAGATAATTGTAGTGGACTGTATAATTGAGATTTAGGATTAAGTAACAGTGCCTTAATTTAATATGATATATATAACAATTGYATCTGGAAACYAAGTATAAAATAATAATATAATAAGGATAAATGTGCTAAATGATCCAAATAAGTACCTGTTTGGCTAGATATAATAATATAGGATATGGCACCAAGTATAAATCAAACATAATATGTGATATGTAAATCGTTTGTAAGTATCAGTATAATAAAGGTAATTGTTCGCTGGTTAATAAATTTAACGCCTTTAAATTTAGTGGACTGTAAACATTTGCTTTTATTTTACACGATAAGTATATATTTGGCTCGTCACAGTGCTCACGTCCGACTAACGGCAGTGCAGTTGGGAGACACCGGTCGAGCGACAATTACCATTAATAATAACAATAATAATAATTTGATTTCGACAATATAGGTACTCATTAAAACGTTAACATAAATAATAAAATATAATGAGTATACGCGACAAGCCGCCCGCCTTGAAATAACATTTCAAATAATAATTCAAATTATATAATCAACATATAAACCTATCTTAATTACACCTAATAGGCATATTATACAAACTAAATAAACAAAAAATAAATATTTTTTACAAATTACAATTACCCACAAATGGTAATGGACATAATTGCCTGACGGCTCGACGAAATGTTCCATTCGCCGTTTTAACATCAGCCACGCGTATGACAYTGTCTTGCCCTGGTCGGGGTCGATGAAAGCCCGCCTTGTCGTGGCGACCCCGCCCGGCTGGACCACTGTCCAGTCGCTAAGAGGCTTTCACCTTAACCCTCGTTCGGGGCAAGCCGACCCCGAACCGAACTAACCCCTAGGCGCGGAGCAAATGCAACYGACGACTTAGCCCGCCGTCGGCCGGAGGGTGTAGGGCTACCTGGGGCAGCCCCCCTATAACACTACTAATATGAATAACACACCAAAAGATAAAACCGTTCTGAAGCCCTCCTACTGGGAGGGATCGGACTTCAGAAAAGCAGACCCGGCAGGCGGGAGTGAGCAAGCGGGCTCCCGTCGGTCGCTATCAAGCAACCGCGCTAAGGATGTGTCCAGCCAGGCATCCAAACACACAACTGCTGAGACAGTCGTGCCTATGGCACGCAAACACAAATCTTCGGAAAAGGTGCTAAGGCTCCGTGGTGGAGCAGGAGACTCTTCTGAAAGTGATATTGATGTAGACAGGCCTGAAAACAGAACAGCAAAGCGTGGACCAGCTAACTCTCCCACTACCAGTGATGGTATTAAGTCTAAAAGGGCTAAGACTTGTACGCCAAATGACTACAGGGAGATCATGAAACAGTTCAATGAACTCGTGGGCTGGATGGACCATACAGTGGAAAAAGAAAGGTCAAAGAAGCTAACGGTTTCCTCGGCGGAAGGCTTTAGCGAAAAGATAGCGTGCATACGTGACCTGTTCACAACCATTTGCCTGGACAACCGCAGGCTGTCAGGTGCAAATGGGGCAAGTGAGAAGGACCTTAGGGAGGTGCTGATGGAGAGCAATAGTAAGATTATTTCCAAAACGGAAGAAAACGCGGCACTTAAGTTACAAGTGGCCGAACTTGAAAAGCGTGTCAAAGAGCTTGAGGATGGCCAGCCAATGGAGAACCCATTACCTAAACAGGCAACATATGCATCAGTCGCCCACATACCCAATAAGAAGGTAGAGCCGACAGTAAATGCAAGCTCTAAGCCTGACCCTAAGCCCAAACAGAAAACAGCTAAACAGGCAAATAAAGCGGCAGTACTTAAGAACCGGAATAGTAAGGTTACCCCACGTTTCGAACTGAAGTGCCAGGACATAAATGACCTAGAAAACTCCAGAAAACAGGTCTGGAAGGAGGTCCTATCCCGAACAAAGACCCCCA